ATCAGTGATCACCCCCTCGCGTTTCGGAAATATTAGAGAAATATCATCTTCAAGAGCCCCCTTCCAAGGGGCCGCAGCTCCCTCACAAGACATTCATCGACTCATGTTCATTGAAACATTTCTCCCTATTTTTGGTCGTATAGGAGGATCGACTCATGTTCATTGAAACATTTCTCCCTATTTTTGGTCGTATAGGAGCTGCTGGTGAAGTTTGGCAGGCTATAATTTCGAGACATCAACCTGTTTCCCTACTCTCCATGTGAAATTTTAATATGGAAATAATTTCCGTAAATCTAGGCCGCGAATAAAATAGATAATCTCTTTTTTTCCCACTTCAAAGTCATAAAAATAAGTTTATTCTAACAATAATGAAAAATAATAAACAAACCCATGTGGCAAACCCGGCAAGCGGGACTTCCTCTGCGCACCGACCGGAACCAAAAATTGCGCATGGCGTGATTCCGTTATAAAAGGTTATATTTCAATTCGTCAAGGTTAACCTGAATTATAATAATAACAGTGATATTTCTACAAAATACAGATGTGGTGATTAACCTATACCAGCCTATACAGAAAATGCTACCAGAGGGCCTATCTCCCGTATAGCGATGGTTCAAATTCATAATATGAAATCAACAACAAACAATCAGTGGCAAGCCCAAGATGATTTCATGATGGGGGTTATCAGTTCAATCAATGAATCAATAGTTTCATAGAAAAAAAACATTTTATTTTGAAAACACCCGGACTACAGGCTTACAGCTGCTAGCAACATATGAAAATAAACTGAATGATAAATAATAAATTGAAAATGTCTTCGGTAACAACAAAAAATCCATATAACATTGTCATACTAATTGAATTGAAATCTCACTTCAAAATCACAATAAATAAACTTCAGTCAGGTAAAATGAAAACGAGCACAAACAATAATATTGAGTGAAACATTACAGACAAAAATTAAATTTTTGCTCCTTTGAATTTTTCAAAAAATCTATGACCCCTTCAACACTTATTGGGATTTCTCGATGAATATTCAGAAATGCTAGTCCATCGAGCATTTGTTCTTCCATGTTATTTCTGAGGTAGGTTTTGAGTTGCCTCATAGTGGAAAATGTCCTCTCATATGAAGAGGTTGTCATTGGTATAGTGACGAAGATTTTGGTGTAAAGTGTGTAAAGATTGGGAAATAACTCATGATTTCTTTGTTCGAGGAAAATCAGTGCATCCATAACATTTCTTGGTTTATTTTCAACATCTTTCAAAATGCTGTACCATATAATTTGACTTCTCCCAGAACAATATCAAAACTTTGAACTTCTGAAAAGTGTTCGTAGGCTATACAACATTCAGTTTACCTATGTCTACTTTTATTTCATCTTTTGGGATTAGTACATCAAAACTGGTTAAAATATCCTCATGTTCCAAAAATCGATCTTCTAGATGTGAAATAAATGTGTCTAAAAATGGAATAAAGATTCCTCGCCTATAAAACTATTCGGGAGTTGTAAATGGCGTATTTTCTCTATGTTTCTCTCTTGATGTAGTGCGAGGCACTGTAATTTCTACATTCTAATCTTCGCATAATGAATTATAAAACATTTGTTTGAATTCATCTTCCGGATTTTGTCGGATGTTGCTCAACGTAGAGCGGGTCCAAACCCCAAAACCCCCCTTTGGGCACACCACTGCGAAACAATACAAGGTGGTTCCGAAATTGGGGCAATAAATGCAATGGTCTGTTGTATGAGGCGATAAATCTCAAGATGAACCACAAGAAAATGTGTATTTCTTTAATCCACTACACTGTTTTACCATACTAACCAAATAACGAAACCAATATTTCCACACATCATTCGCTAATTATAAACTGATTGAAACAGAAACTGTCCATTGTAATCGAAAAATCAATGAAGCATATTTTAAAGACAATGGGGAAGACCACTGAGGGAAGAAATCCGTGCAAACCTCTTTCAATCGACGAATCATGATTTACATTCTATGTACAATCAATATTATGAGTTGAAGTTGAAGGGAATCGAATCTATATCGTTTTGAAATCAGCATATTTCATTCGATATTTCAAACAGCCAAATATGATGGTGGAGTCGTGACGTATTAGTCCCGAACTGTAGCTATCTCTCTTTGATACCTCGTCATTCTGCAGTGTTGCAGCGTAATTGGTCAGTTCAAGGACAATAGGCGTGTTGGGAATAAGACGTCGCACCAGTCACACCAATGAATTGATGACATTTCAAATGGCGCAGGAATTGTGTGTTTTGAAATGGATATATACTAATTTATTTGTTTCATCGTCTCAGCATGAATGAAAAAATTCAAAATCAATTCACTGGTAGTTTTTCAGTATAGAGTTTACGATAATGTCATTTTAAAAAATCAGTGGTCTTCCCCATTGTATGTTGTTGAAATTTGTATATGTATATTTATGCTTTCCTCTGCCACTCTACAAAAACTTGCGATTACTTACACAAAGTATTTCCCCTATTTTTTGTTCGTTGACTGAATAACTTATTTCACTCAACCCTATCATGACCATCACAGGTCAATAGAAACAACAAAAAGGCATTTTTTAATACTATAAGTACTATGAGTAACGTTTTATTAGCTACTTAATTATAAACAATAATTAATTCCACCATTCATCAAGAGTATTTTAATATTGTCTGGTAGTTTAAAGCAAATCTGATGTGTTGAAGTGAAGAATTGCAAGATTTTGCCACTCATACATCGAAAAGCCAGTCAGATAAGTGGAACTGAGTAAAAGTGTGCTATAATAAAAAAAGCACTTACAGGTAGCTGGTGAAACGACAGAAGAGCACTTTCATACAACACCAACTGAATAACATATCGACAATAACTAATATTGAAATTGATATACATTAATTATTTCTGAAGGTCGTTGTTCACGAAGAAATGCAAGAAATTAAAGAAAAACCTGCAAGTATGCTTGCAATAATCATGCCGGTAATTAACTTCAATAATAAGCGTCAGAAGGGGAGAAAATATAATTTCGAGAAAAAGTGTTGCGTGTGTGTGTGTGTTAAAACGTTATCTAGCTCTGAATCTTAAGAAATGGGAAATAACGGTACGAACATGATCTGTTGATCATTATTAGGTCTATAGAAAATTTGATAATCAACTAATTTTGATTATGTAATAATTACAGATACTACTAATAATTGTATCTACAAGGTGAGTCATTAGGTTGGAATGGTCAGCTCTAGAATTCCTAAAATTATTTGATGAATGTATGTATGTACGTATACTGTAATGGAGATATTGGAATATATTGAGTTGGGCACGGTACGGCCAAATAACCTTGTCAATCGATGTGTCCATTTCACCGAATTCGACTGTGAAATATTTGGTTGGTCAAATAATCGAAAGATTTGCATTATCTGATAAGATTCAATGAACCCTGAAATGAAAAAATGAACCTACTAAATAGTTTTTGTTTCCTCTCATATTTTCATCAATGTCTGCATTCGCCTATGGACTATGTAACTGGGTGTTAAACTAAGGATTCGATTGAATAGATGAATCCCAAACTGACGACATCTGAATAGGTTTCCAGAAAAAGTTTTAGATCTATTAAAAAACGAGTGGATGGCAGTGAATTCGGATTTCTGATCTCTGATTCTGTTATAGCAGGTCGATTAGGTGAATGTGTCCTGAAAAAAAGTACCTACCGTTTTTTCTTCATTGAGACATAGAATGGTCAGCACAGACTATACTGGGTATTACAGGATCATGGCACACCAAACCATTTTGATGAACTTGAATTGGTGATGAATCAAGTAATATAATATTTTTGACAGGATTCAATTATTTTTAGCATCACACCTGTCGACATGAGTACATCAGACTCGATCAGAATTGTCATGTCAAGTTCGGAATGTCACTTATATGGTAACATTTGATGCAGAAAATGATGTAGAATCCGAAAATGCTATGATATACAGGGTGTTTCATTTGAAAATCAAAAGTTCAAATCACTTCCGATGTTCATAATGAAATATTTATGTCAAAACAAGACATTTATCAATTCCAATTACTTATCTCCAAAGCTAAAGAAGAAAAGGAGGGTGCACCATGATCCTATTACACCCAGTATAGTACTCACCCCATGCACAGAGTGACATTTGAAAGAAAATGTCTCGACGACGTATACAACACACTCGAGTCTGTGGAGTCTTCGAACATTGTGATTGATCTAAAAGTTCTCTCTCATTCTTTCGTATATTGAACATAGTTCTAAATTTGAATAATATTTCTACAGCTTTGAGAAGGTACTGCAGTAGGTAAGTATACAGGGTATTTAACAGGCGCTCAACTCGTTTTTTGATCAAAATTGATGTAATCTTCATTTTAGAGAAAGGGGGACGTATTGGAAGAAGGTCTCAAAATTTTTTTTATGGATTTCAAGAGGTCCTATTTGTTTGTCTATGCAATTACTAGGAAATATATCAGTTCTTCCAAAAACGTGTAGAGTTTCTGGTCAATCGGCAGAATGTGATACCATAACACTTATTAGTAATTGAGAGAGTAGAAAAAGTCTACATTAAGTGATTAGACCAATACGAAATCATAGATGCGAACTAACGATCATTAAGCATGTTACCATGAGTATTAATTTCTGAATATTTCCATCAGTCTTGAATTTTGAATCATTTCGTATACATCAATGTACCACAGTGCCATTATCCAATGAGAATAAAAAATCACATTTTTGTATAAACATATATAAATAACAAAGCAATAAACGTATATTGTCATTCTGGAGTGTATTGTATAAGTCAAAAGCCCACTCTTAGAAACACCGTAGGTACCCTGAATAAATTACTATAGTTCAGGTAAAATTAATGAGAATTCTGAAAATTTTTCCCGCTACTACAAACTATCATATTATCGTCTTTTTCGATAAGTATGTGTATTTTTATTGAATAATAAATTGCAATATGTTTCCAATCGTATTAAAATTACCTCATATTTTGAATCTTTATAGAAGTCCTCCCATTGCCAATTCTCCTTTGTTCTTCATGCATCCTAGTCACTCTGAATTCCAAATTTTCACTAGGCACTTTATCGTTCATATGTTTATTCTTGCCGCGAAAAAACTTGTTCTTTTTCATTTTGGGTTTCTTCTTAACTCTTTGAATTTTTCCTACCCTTAGAGATAACATTATCCTTACTCTAATATGTCTTATAACGTACTTTTCATTCCGCATTTTCATTGCTGAATTCTGATAGTTGTGTCTAAAATTAATTCTGTCTTCATGGTACCCGTTGAGTCTATTCAAAACACACATTTGGTTGTCGTTTGAACTGATTTTTTTAGGGTTCTCGAATGGCACATAAGCAGGATTGAAATAAACGTTATTCAAGGAATTGTAATTGCTGGTTTCTTCAGAGCACTCGTAAATAGGTTCTTCATGAAGGTTTGTTTTCGCATTCAAGGTATTATAGAGTGCTATATTTCTACCTAGACTATTTCTCTTTGTATACTTCTCCACAACAGATGTTTGAGAATGTTTATTAGTCGAATCATCATAGAGTCGATTAACAGTGAATTTGCAATCGTTCAAGCTGACTTTCTTTTTGCTTTTAGGTTTCACATAGTTCCAAAACCCTCCAAGACCACCACACTTGCTTCTTTCCTCATTGAACAATAATCGTTCCTTGTAAACTTCGGGTAAACTAGCATCTTTGAAGTCGGTAGCACTTCTTGAAGATTCAGGAAAATGTTCCCTATAGTTCTCAGTCATTTGATGGTAGATTTTCGAGACATTCTGCAAACTTGATCTATTGATTTGGACCTCAACACTGCTAGCGTCATCAGAAGTTTCATCGTCATTGGCATTTCTGGATTCTTCTCTGAAATCGTAGTTATTGCTCCTAATGGATATCAGATCCTCGACATTCTCGAGTGATACTGAGCTATCATCTGACAGCTCCTCATATGTTTTTCCATTCATTGCCACCGGATTTGATGTTCCCAATTCCAGCAGATGGCTCTTGTTATGGACCCATCCTCTACTTATAGTCCACTCTTTCAACCACTCTGGTTTCCTTGATTTGTCTCGTCTTTTGGCGTCTAACTTGTGGAAACGTTTCTTGAGTACTTTTTTCTGGTGTTTGTTAGTATTTTCTTTCGTGTTTGGGGTCCAGGATCCTTTCTCAATCACTACGCACAAACATAGGCACCGGAAAAGACTCGAGAAAAATGACATCGTTTGTTTATTCACTCCTTGGACTTCATCGTTTTTTTTTTCTCTACAGGTATACGATATTCGACACCGGTGGGTGACTATTTCCGACTGAATAGTAATATGGGGCCATGTTTTAAAACGGATACTCTTTGTCGAGTGTGTTTTGTTTGGGTTTGAGGACTGTGACCGGTCATTTACCATACATAAGGGTACTAAATAATCAGCTAGCACATAATTTGCATTTGTTTTACGAATGATTCGAATATATTCGAAAGTTTAAATGAACATTATGGTAGAGTCTCTGCTCATTTTGTGAATAAAAATGTAGAAAAAGGTTATGGGTAATGTGAAGCTCATCATCTTAAATTTTTCAATCAGCTTTTCAATGTCAAAATGTTCTGAAATATTGTCGCGGTCGTGGTCCAGATTTTTTTTAGTTGATTGTGATAGGTGATAGAGACTCGCAAAATAATGGGTATTTTTTCGATAAACATACTTCCAACAGTGCACTATCTCAACTTCTCCACTTGCTGATTTATACCTGGCACTGGCTCGATTTTCTCATAGAGATCAATGGAAAGAAAAATTTATCAGTTCATGAGCCGCATCAATTGAAAAGTAATTTTTTCTGAGAACTTGTCTAAGCAAACATATCTTTTATGCCGAATCCTCTTGAAATATCTTCACTGTGAATATTTGATAGATACTATTTGATTACTCTTCATCATCACTCGTATTAAAAAAATCTTTGAATTCAAGAATCAAATTCAATTAAAATAAGATGATATTCATAATCCACCCCATGATTCGAGGTTCTGGAAATCGCACTGTTGCCAGACCACGGTTCCGTTTCGTACTCTGGGCGAACATCGAGCAAATTTGCAAGCCAATGAAAAATATGTCTCGTCATTGAGAGGCTCTTGAAAATTCCAGTGTACCAGGCAGAATTCACTCAGTTCAGAAAAAGTTCGAATCATTGTGATGAGTGGAATACATTTCCATGTTCCATTTATGAGGAAATACCAAAGTTTTCTCTCAAATTTGGAATATTTCTGTTCTATGTAAAGTTACGTCATACAGAAATTCATAGACGCCTAATTTGGTGGGTATCTATCATCTCTCAGAATTAATGTACAAAGGACTTGAAAAAAACATTGCACAAACTTTCCAGACCAAAACGATTCGATTTAAACTTAGCTGGTTCATGACTATGGAACGTTTAATGAGATTTTCCTCAAATTTGGTACGGAGCCATAGCTTTATGGGGCAATGAAACGAATATTATAATTAGATGAATATCATTCCACGGGCGTAGATAACAAATTTTCTCCTTCAAATCAATTATTATCAAAATGTTCACGTCATTGGATAGAAAGTATTATGAAATTTGGATGAAATTGAAAAACTCTCATAGTTTAGAAAAGATTCGAATTTCAGTAATTCTATGTTCTAATAAACAATTGATGTGAAAATCTAGTGACTTTAATTTTTCATAACTTGTGAAAAATTGCAATGGTGCATTTTCTATATGACTGAGTTGAATAGTCCCCTAATAGCACACAACGTCCTAGGGACGTCCCTAATTCACGTCCGAATGTCCCGAACCAAAAATAAGTGTCCTTGGAACGTCCCATCCCGTACATCTCATGCAATGTCCGAGCAAGGACGTCCACGAAATGTTCCAGATGGTACATCATTTCAAATGTCCTAGAAATAGCATCCCTTAGACGTCCCACGTGGTACATATTGTAGAATGTCCATGCAAGGACGTCCTTGGCATGTCCCTGATGGGATATGATTTTAAACGTTCCTTTAGGAAAATCCATCGGATGTCCCGAGTAGTACATATTCTGGCATTACTTCAGATCTTATATAATGTCCCTCCTAGACAACCATGAAATGTCCCTGATGGTACATTCCTTCAAATATCTCTGCACAGACACCCTTAATATTTCCTGGATCGTATAACAATCGAAATGTCTCTTAGGGACATCCTTCGAATGTCCCTTAGGGATATCCGTCGGATGTCCCAATTGGTACATGAACTGTACTCTTCCAATGTCCTAGAAATAATGAAGTCCTATGGACGTCCCAGTCGGTACTTTCAATATGTTGTCCCTGCGAGGATGTTAACTCACACCTCGCCGACGAATGATTGCTCGTAGGCTATAAGTACTCCTCGTCAATGTCCTTCATGTAAGTCCATTGGACATCCGTGGGAAACTTTTTGGGGACCTTCTACGGACCATCAACTCAACTGGATGTCCTAATCAGTCATGCAAGATCTGGTCCTAGAGGGACCCAGAAAAATTCAAATTCAAGAATAATTCGTACGTCCCTGGGACATCCTATAGACATCCAATTGATATCTCTCAGCGTTGCTGATAGGTTGTCCTATGGATGTCCTAAGGATGTCCTCTGTAGTGCTTGATGAGGAATACTGTAGGATTTAGGTATGCGATAGTTGTCCCAGGGACATCCCTCAAGGACATCCCTAGTTGGTCCTCAAGTAATTCGAACGTCCTATGGACGTCCTGAATGTCCCGGCAGGACGTCCTAAGGATATCCATGGGACATAAGTGTGTTATTAGGGACGATACATTGAAGTTGGCAAACCTCGATTCAAATTCCACTTACCTCCAATTCATTCGAATTGAATCGAATAGTATCCATAGCGCATGTATACATTTCATTATTATAATTCACGGGGTGTTGTAATTTTTCTAAAAAGACCATGTCAGGTCCTCAATTGAACCTAAGTATTTTTTTTTCTTGAAATGTATTCATTTTTGTCATTGAACAACCCGTAATCAATCAGCATGTTTGAGGCGTGGGTGGTTACTTGTGTCTTGAGGTCAACAAAATATAACACAGACACTAAAAATTTGAAAATCTGAACTCATTTTGGGAAACAAAAATTGCACGTTTCTTATTTCTGTTATTCTCATTGTTTCTTATGGTCTAATGGGTTTCTCCTGATTCACAAAACCCAGTGTGTTGAGGTTAGTGGTGCCCGCGAGAGTCTCGTTTTCGAGAGTCTCGCATGGTCTCGTCTCGTTTTCGAGACAAGACTCGAGACGAGACTCCGACAAGACGAGACGAGACTTTAATTGGTCTCGTCTCGAGTCTCGTGCAAGACTTCTCGTGTCTCGTGCGAGAGTCTCGCAGGTAAATATTTCTGCGTGTCGACTGCAGACTTTTGAATTTCATTCATAATACAACATATTTAGAAATAATTCAGACTGCTTAGCACAGATAGACGAAACATTTCATTCATAAATACTTTAAAAACACAATCCATGATTGTTGTAAAACGATGTAATGCGTGAAACGAAGACTGACTATTCTCTCTCTTACGGCTGCAGAATATAAAGGCAATTCTGCAATAACGACAGATCGCAAATTGAATAATGACTACCCGAAAATCTATAAATAAGTCATTCTGTACCAAATAATGTTTTGTGAATATCCCTTTTTCGCTGTAAGCGGGAATTATTTCAAAGTACCTACTCAAGATACCCACACCCTGTAGATGAGAATATGATTATGTTGAATTTCAAATAAACTAATCGAAAATTGAACGAAAATATTTATTTCCCAAAATATTTTGAGATTTTCGATTTACTTCTGTATGATGGTATATTATTAGTACTTATTATTATTTAAATATATTTGTAGTAAAACAGGAGCGGATTTGTTTCTGAAACGTTCAAAGATGAGCGAAATAATTTTTTTTCTACAACATTGTTCAAACAAGGTGTGAATGATTATCAACTGCTCTACGTTTCTATCAATGAAATTTTGAGCGCAATGTCCTTACTGCAAGTATATTGAAATAATATACTGGTAATTCATTTTTTTAAGAGGAGGAGAGAAAATCCCAAATTATTTGGAGAAATTAATGTTTCGTCTTCTCGATCAACCTACAGATAGTATTTCAAGATATTATTCACCTCACTGCATTTTCTCTTTCTTGAAGTCACTGTTGTCAAAACAAGAAAAACCAATTGATATTTTCTAAACAACTACCAATATATACTTCGACTTCTCGTCACGCGTTTCGATTCAATATGTATAAAACACCATATTGGAAGCGTCGTATTTCTTGAGAAAGTTGTCGATGTCATCCTATTTTCAATTCTACATATTGTGTCCAATGAGAACATTGTATAAAAATAAACTAGGTACTCGAAATATTAAACCAGATGCAGTTCTGTTTCTTTAATAGGCGCAGTTGCAGAAAAGGAAAGTCGCACTCTCAAAACATTCAGGATATAAACGTAGGTATTGAGTTTAAATTGCTTTTCTTCCATATTGACGCAAGAATGGAATATTTCAAATATGTGAAGTGAATTCGATATTGCTCACGTTTACTTGATCTCATGATGTTAAACGTCATTGGGATCTCGGTAAGCACACATCTTGGAATTTGGTATGTGTAACGCAAATACGATTGAAATATCAAATAAAACGGATCTTGAGATTAATCCTTCCTTCAGATGAAACGGAGTTAATAAAATGCGAGATGAAATGTAACCACACTGAGCATAACTTTACAACGGTAGAGTTTATTCTCTTGAAGTAATAAGGTATCCCTTTGATGAGAAATCCAAAATGATTCCAAATATGATATCAGTTTCACTGTATTACTCAAAAATATATGGCAAGGTGATAGTTCCATATCACTTTTTACCAAAATGTCTGGAACAACTGTATGGTATTGTGGGGAATTTTCCCACTTGTGTATATATTTGTGTATTTAATTAACTATCCTGTATACCATATTACATTTTATACTCTGTACATATTTCATCATCCGAAGTGTTGGGTTTTTCCTGATAAAGGTTTTTTCTACCTTTCTATACGAAATGCCAATTATACTTATTGTATATTCACAACATTGATCTTTTATGACCATCTGGATATAGGATGGTAATTCCCTAATTCGAGCCCTAATTATTATTCTTATAGAGACCTACCTTTCTAGCTTAATAAACAATTTATTGTAATCAGTTATTCTT